GCTTTCTCAAGTTTTTGCATACGGAAGTCATCAGACAGTGAATATCGCTTCATGCACTACCGCACAAGGGCAATATCGTATTCGTTTTTCTGGCCAGCAAACAAGCTGGCCACACATCTTGAACTGTGCTTCCTTTCTAGAATGAGACCCTCATTTTTACAGCGTCTGCACTGTTTCGAGGAAGAAGGTTGAGAAATATGCTAAATCGGAGAGCCAATAGTAGATCTCACTGGAAAGCTCCACTGTTGAAAATGAAACATTCAGATGACCTTCCTTCGATATCAGTAGCTAGCATTGACCATATATAAATCTCCTATATATATACTATTAAATATGCAAACAGGAGTGCCGGAGTCTACCTGTTGCAAACCTACCCTATATATATATCCGTTCTTTCTGTTGCATCAACTTTGTGTTGTACGTGCATTTGGCGATAATACTATGATCACCGACAGATGGTAGGGTAGGTTTGCAACAGGTAGACTCCGGCGCTCCTGTTTGCACAGTTAATAGTTTGATTCATTTCTTAATTTGAAGAGGTTCTTCTTCTGTAGACGGCTCAGAGTAATGACCATTGCCATTATCACTCATCCCTTTAAGCATCCTATCTTTTACAGATAGGCTGGTTTACATATCCTAGTTCACAACACCAGTGTCTGGAAACTGTAAATTTCGGTCCTTAGGACAAACCAACATAGTTGTGCATCTTGTACTAGAAAGACTCAGCGTCTTTTAGTGAGTTTAGCCGGTTATGTTAGTTTGTCATAACGGCTTTTTAATGCTAGAAGTCTAAAATGACATTGGACTATTACGGGGTCGTACTTCACCCTTGATTACTTCGACTTTGCCATGCTGCCAATGAGTCAGCTGCAGAAAAATGGGGTTTGCTAGGCGTTATTTGACTAAGACAAATCGCAATCGTAGCAGCTTGCGAATGGTGTGCCATATCTTTTGCGATGTCTTGAATAGAAGAATAACACATTAAGAATTTGCTGCTTTCGGTGTGGTTACGACTGTCACAATTTGTACTTATACTACCAACTGGGAGAGAACTTCAACGTATGCTCTGACAGTGTCTTACTAAGTCTCACTTTGTCCTGCTTTTTACCGGTACCATCTAGAGATTGGGGCGGCATGCAATATAATGAAGGTGGACGTATCAGGACATGCACCCGCCAATGAAGTCGCCGTTCTTTCAGGACAGTAGAGATCTGGACGGTGTTGCAACGGGCAAGAACTGTTGCGCTGGATATACGGTCGATAAATCGTGTCCACGAGATGATGGTAAATACCAGTGGAAGAATTATAGTTTCTCCGCGTGTTTGGCTGTTAGGGCCAAGCATGCACATCCTCAAATGAAGACGGAGCGGATGGTAATCTGCATAACTCAATACTTCTTCTTCAGTCTGATCTCACTTCGTTTCGAAAGAGGCTTGTACAGCTGGAGGAAAACCCCGTTGCTTCTGTTATGCGATCCACAACTTTTTCTTTAGCCTGTCTATTTGGAAAGATAGAGAAGCCAAGATAATTGAAGGAGTTGACTTCTTCAAGCAGAGTTGCAACCTCGAGAAAGATTACTTTTTTGCTCTGAAAACCATGGAAGAATATTTTTCACGTTTGCTGGCGTTGATGACTGATGCCACTGTTGCAGATAGGTCATTTATTCGCTTATGGAAATATTGTACATCGTCATGGTTGGATAACATGGACAGCTAATCCTAACGCATAAGGAAGTGCGCACATGGAATTTTGTACTCTAACTCGAAAGTTTAGGTTTTGTGGCAAAGAAGCGTATATCAGTAGATTCTTTATACGTTGTTCTCGCGTTCATGACATTCTAAACCATATTATCGTTTCTCATATGCAGAAGCCATATACCATATTCGGTGTCCCTGGCGTATAATAATATACACGAGTACGGAAGATGTAGTACGCGCGCCGGCTTGCACGTCGGTGTAGTTGTCGACGCCGTTAGCGGTAGCGTTCAGTGGTCGACATCCACTGTCCACCGTCCGGTGACTGGCGTTGTCATTCGGATTTGGATAATTTCTAACTGGCAAAAAAGATGAGGTGAGATGAGAGGTGAGGTGAGTCGATCTGAACTCAGTTCAGCCGAGAT